ATCAAACAACAATTTGCAAACTGCACCAGTGCTACAATTAGGAGGAAATGCACCTATTGGGAGTATATAAAACTGTAAATTTAAGGAAAGATAATGCCAACTTAAATATGCACATTCATTATTTCTGTCCAAGGCGACATTTATATAGTTCATTAAAATAACACACACAAAAAAGGAGAGAGAAATCCATTTGACTTCCGCAGAACCTTGATTTTATGGACTAATTGGAGAGAAGAGGGTGCCTTTTGGATCTGAGTGTCTTTTAAATGAAATTGATGTCATTTAAGTCATTGTGTACATCATGCACGTGATTATCTAATGAGTGCAAATTACAGCCCTTTGTGTTCGTTTATCTTTATGAACCTGAAGCACGTTTTATGCCAATTGTTGGGATTGTTTAGGAAAAACTGAAGTTCGTTGTGCAAGGCTGAAGCTTGAATTAAATTTTAGTCTACAGCATGGGAAGTCTGATCTGTGCCTCTGTTTGCAGGTGAAGGATTTGATCAAGTTCCTGGATCCCACTGGGCTTGGCGTGATCAGCTTTGAAGACTTCTGTCGAGGGATTTCTGCAATCAGAAATGGAGGTTGGTTTTTTTTTTTTAATACAGATGGATCAGAAAAACCCGAAATAGGTCCACAACTTGGAAGAAGTCCTTCCTACTTCTCCCAGATCCTCATTTGGGAGGAGTTTCATCACATTGATGGGATATAGATAGATAACCTTTATTGTCTTTTTTCCCCCTGTGGGCACAATGGCACACATTAAAAATGAAATTTAGTTGCTTCCTCTCAAAGTGTACACATACATGACACACATTTAAACATACTATATACAACATATGTATAGACCAGGGGTAGGCAACCTTGGCCCTTTTATGACTCGTGGACTTCAATTCCCAGAATTCCTGAGCCGGCCATGCTGAGGGGAAAGGGAGAGGTTTCCAAGCTGAGCCATGCTGGCTCAGGAATTCTGGGAGTTGAAGTCCACGAGTCATAAAAGAGCCAAGGTTGCCTACCCCTGGTATAGACCTACACCCTTACATATAAGTAACATATATTCCAAGCCCATTTCGTGAACATTCATAGCTCTTTAAAACAAGACAAACAGAGTGGAAGACCAAATCTATTCCCATTCCATTGGATCAGGAAGGCAAGTGCACCCCAATTTTGGGGACAACTGGCCAAGGTTTGGGGGTCTTCAGATTATATTTTTATGTATCTGGCTTGTTACAACAAACCTTGTGTAATTTTAAATCAGAGTCCCTGTTTTCATAATGATCTGCTAAGCTCAGATTGGACAAAGCCTGAAAATCTTTCTATCTTTAACGCAGGTAGTAGTAGAGCAGTAGTCGCCAACCGTCAAGGATTGGTTTTGTGGAAGACAATTTTTCCACAGACCTGGGGACGGCGGTGGGGGGGAGAGCAGGAACGTGCAACCTAGATCCCGCGCATGTGCAGTTTTGTTCGCCTGCTGCTCACCTCCAGCTGTGCAGCCCAGTTCCTAACAGGCCACACATCTGTACCGATCTACAGCCCAGGGATTGGGGACCCCTGTAATTGAGGATGTAAAGTGTCCTCTCCCATATTCTCGCAACCCTCTTGGGGAGAAATTAGTTTTCTCTTAGGCCTATTAAGCAGGAATCCAGCAGTCGGTGATTTGAGTGAACCTCTATGCTTCCAGTTAGATCCTCTTGGGAGATTAATCTCAATTCAGATGCTGGAAGCGGAGACACCTTCGTCTGGAATAACTAATTAGGCTTTGCATCCGCTGTCATCCACAGCGGTTCAGACTAAATAAATGGCTAAGATCAGATGAGAATAAGTGGATGATCTAGTCTTGGGTGTGTATGTGTGTGAGAGACAAAGAGAGGGTAAGAGAGAATGAACGCACGCAACATTTGAATTTGGTTTTCCTTCGGTTCTGATTACTCAGTTGGGAAACCATTAGGTGTCTTGATTTCATTTGATACAGTATGTTTAATCGCCAAGGATTGGGAAATCTGTATAATCTGTTAGGAAGCAGCTTCTTGTGGTCTTTGGATAGACTTGCAAGCTAAGCAAGGCTGGAGGGGTTTAATGTTTGGGTGGAATACCTCCAGGAACTATCAGGAATATAGACCCATCTAGGAAGTTCAAACATCTCAGCAGAAGACCGGAACAGAGCCCGAGAATGTGGCATGGGTGTTCTGTGAGGTTGCCAGCAGCGGAGCTTGCTTTGAAGGAAATTTTATCTTATCTCAGCAGGTGGCACTACCTGCTTGGCCTTCTCTGGGCTCAAATGCTAATCAGAGTCTGACCTTGTTAATATCAAATAGGAAGCCGCCAGGAAATCTCTAAGCTACAGGCTAGCTTGAGAAGGTAAAGGTGAACATTTCTGGAAGAAAATAATGTGGCCAGTTGGTTGCATCCATATTGTGGCCCAGAAAACTACAGATAGCCAAGACTCCTGCGAATCCCCTGGACTGCAAGGTGATCCAACCGGTCAGTCCTAGAGGAGATCTGTTAGGAACTGACTGCTCTTTAGAAGGCCAGATCCTGAAGTTGAAACTCAAGGACTTTGGCCACCTAAGGAGAAGGAAGGACTCACTGGAGAAGGGCCTAATGCTGGGAAAGATGGAGGGCAAGAGAAGAAGGGGACGACAGAGAAGGAGGTGGCTGGATGGAGTCCCTGAAGCAGCAGGCGTGAGCTTCAATGGACTCCAGAAGATGGTAGAGGACAGGATGGCCTGGAGGAACGTTGTCCATGGGGTCGCGATGGGTCGGACACGACTTCGCAACTAACAACAACAACAACTTGGTTGTTGAGCAACGTGGTAATTAAGTGAAGACCCCCCCTCCACATGACTTTGATGACTTAAGTGTCGTTTTTGTGGTGGTACTTAAGCAAGGACCGTAGTAGTGTCATTAAGAGACTTGTGGCTTCCTGCTGACTTCCCCATTGATTTTATTCGTCGGAAGCTGGCAGGGAAGGTGTCCAATGTCGATCACATGACTATGGGATGCGAAGACAGTTGGAAATGTGGGCTGGTCACTGAGTGTCCAAATTTAGATGATGATTACATGGATAGCTGCTTTGGCTGAAATTGTGAGGAGTGGTCATTAAGCACCACTCATTCAGCACAGTTGTAAATTTCAAATAGTCATCGAATGAATGCTTATTAAGTGAGGACTTAAGTATGGATTTTCCCAGGAAATCACCAGAATATGAGCTCAGGTAATGCAAAGGATTTTGGGTTTCAACTGTGTTTCTCAACCTTGGCAATTCTAAGGTGAGTGGGCTTCAACTCCCAGAATTCCCTAGCCAGCATGCTAGCTGGGGAATCCTGGGAGCCGAAGGCTGTAAAAACAGTGTGAAGCGATATATGAGTCTAAGTGCTGTTGCAATTACTATGCTTCTGGTCTGCTTAGCAGGACACATACACTGATAGCGTGAAGATGGGCTTCTGTGAGCTGTGTGGCGCGACTAAGGATTGGAGGGGGTGTGAATGCTCTGGGTTGTTGTTGTTTTTTAATTGTTCCTTTGGGCAGGAACACAATCCCGTGGATATGGTACTGGAGAGTTGAGTTGCGAACTTCTCCTTAGCAACCACGAAGATGTACAATGCACCATCTGCAGTTGCCCCGGGTGGCTGGCTGGAGGGGGAATGAGTTGGTGATGTTGTGTTGAGTTTGTTCAGTATTGTTTAGGCAGCAGCATGGGGGGGGGCGGTTTCTCACACGACCGCATTCCTCACGGTTTCCCAGTTGCAGCTCCCCAAAGAGGCTGCGATTGTTGGCTTGCGAGCAATCAAAACAACGTATTGGGGACCCCCACAGTAGGGAATTCCTTGAGGATGTATAGAAACAAAACAAGAGGAGTAAATTAAGGTGGGCAACAAAATACAGATATTTCCACGACTTATTACACCGTTCAAAGTTACAACAGCATTGAAAAAGGTGACTTGTGACCGTTTTTCACACTTACGACCGTCGCAGCCTCCCCAGGGTCACGTGGTCAAAATTCCGACACTGGGCAACTGGCTCGTATTTATGACGGTCGCAGCGTCCCGGGGTCATGTGACCCCCCTTCTGCGACCTTCAGACACGTCGATGGGGGGAGCCAGATCCATTTAACAACCGTGTCACTAACTTCACAACTGCAGCGACTCACTGAACTGTGGCAAAAAGGGTAATAAAAGGGGGCAAAACTCACAACAACTGTCTCGCTTAGCAACAGAAATTTTGGGCTCACTTGTGGTCGTAAGTCAAGGATTACCCCCATGGAAGCGCAACCCGGGCAGTGCGGTGATTTTTGTGACGGTTGCGTTGCCATGTGCTCTCCCAGGGCATTCTGGGAGCGGACCTAGAAAATGCTGCGATGAGACACTTTGTGAGTCCTCTTTGTGGTGTCTCAAAAAAAAAGGAGGAGGCTGTTTATTTATGCTCTGCCGCTGAGCATAAATTTTGCTCGAACAAATGCTTCCTATTATTTTTCCTGAGCTGCTGAATTGGAATGTCGGCAGCTTCATGGAAGACCATAATTTGCACAGACGGCCCATGTGGCTTAAAAAGTCCTGGCTGAGGAATGTAAAGGAAAGTTTGGGGGCCAGTTATTTCCCCAGTATCTAATCCAGGCTTGGTTTGTGTTGAATGGTTGCATTAAGTATGCTTTGTTCACCCAGCCGTGGTGATTGCCAAAGCTTCGTGTACAAATTCTCTACAAAGGAAAGGAGAATCTGTATTTTTCTATGAAGCTCATCGGAATTAAAATTGGCGGATGGAACTCTTATTATCACTTCCCCTTATTTTATTAATTCAACTCCCATGCAGTTCTTCAGGCACGCTGGCTGAGGAATTCTGGGAGTTGGAAGTCCACAAGTCATCAAAGGGCCAAGTTTGAAGACCCCTGCTTTACACTAATCTAGCTCTCATTTATTGGAGCCACGGTTGTAATCCAAGAATGCTTTCAGTGATTTTTCTCTTTGCAAATAACTCCACTCTGCTCTTCCTCCAACAGATCCAGACAGTCAGCTCTGCCCAATGGGGTACACTCCCGATGACCCGCCTCCAGCGTGCGCTGATGAATTTGATGACTTCGTGACATACGAGGTGAGCGAAAACATACCCACCCAATGGCTCGGGGTCACTTCCGTTGGCTTAAGTGCGTCTCATTGGCTACTTTAGAGAATGTGGATGATGCTTAAGAAGGACCTTATCTGCGATAGCTTCTGAAAGATTTCTATAGCAATAGCACTTAGACTTATATGCCACTTCATCGTGCCTTACAGCCCTCTCTAAGCAGTTTACAGTGTCAGCCTCTTGCCCCCAACAATCTGGGTCCTCATTTTACCCACCTCGGAAGGATGGAAGGCTGAGTCAACCTTGAGCCAGTCAGGATCGAACTTCTGACTGTGGACAGAGTCAGCCTATAACGCTGCATTCTATCCACTGGGAATGAAGGAAGGAAGGAAGGAAGGAAGGAAGGAAGGAAGGAAGGAAGGAAGGAAGAAAGAAAGATAACAATTGCACTTAGACTTATATACTGCTTCACAGTACTTTACAGCCCTCTCTAAGCAGTTTAACAGTCAGCTTCTTACCCCCAACAATTTCTGCTTGATGGCTTGATGAGCAGGAAAGGAATATCAATCAATCAATCAATCAATCAATCAATCAGTGGGCTGGGTCGTTATTACAGACTATATCAGAAAGCAAATACCTGTAAAAACCACTGAAAAATGAAACAATGCAATCCAATATTTTTGCATCATTTAATTAGCCAAGTGTATTGTATGAAGTGATATGGGAACTGATTATTGTGAATAACAGAAAACTAAGACTTGAATTAAGTAGAAAATCAACACGGCAGTGTGGAGTTTTAACGAGAATACAGTATTGTGAAAATTGTCAGAAAACAGGTTTTCCCTCTTTGTGTTTTGAGACCAGACTTTGGCATATATGGTGAGATCCCCCAGGCCAAAAGGGGCTGCTCCCTGTTCTTGTGTATCAGCTGGAATTGTCAGGGATTAAACCTGGGCATAGCAGACATTCCTTCACTGAATTATAGCTTATTTCCTAAATCCTGACTGGGAGCAGGTAGAGTTTATAATAATTACTGGACATCGTGAGCTGCAAAGCATGCACTAACATGCACAGCCCGGTACAATTGCAATGAATAAACTACAGTATTGATAGAGAATAAAGATTTATTTTTTTCTTTCTGCAAAATGTATACTTTTGAACGGTTGCTAAGTTATCAGTCCTAAATTGAGGACTGTGTATTTTTTTTTTCCTACTCCTGTTCGGTAGCCTCTGCCAAAAAAGCCAACACAGTGCTGGGCTACATTAACAGAGGGATAGAATCAAGATCACGTGAAGAGTTAATACCACTTTACAATGCCTTGGTAAGGCCACACTTGGAATACTGCATCCAGTTTTGGTCACCACGATGTAAAAAAGATGTTGAGACTCTAGAAAGAGTACAGAGAAGAGCAACAAAGATGATTAGGGGACTGGAGGCTAAAGCATATAAGGAACGGCTGCTGGAATTGGGTATGTCTAGTTTAATGAAGAGAAGG